TTAAAATAGTTTCTTTCACAAATGACAAGGAAACACAAAAAATAAAATCGGTACTGAGAATAACAATATTATTAACAAACATTAATGATAAATATTTGTCTGGTACCAGTGGTACCGTTCCTTTATTTTTATTACTTAGTTTATCTCGACAATCACAGTCCAAAGTACGCGAGTACGACAGAATAGATTACTTGATTAGGCAGTTGTTTAATGTTTGTGATGTTTCTACTTTCTGAACAATCAACGAAGCCTTGAATACACAAAAGTGCTCATTCTACTATTCAAGTACGGGATCGTTTTAAGTACAAAATTTTATCTGGACGAGCGCATGAGCGTGATAAATTTGTTTGTTATGCAATGTCCGTGTCTCTTTGTGTGCTGAGATTCGAACTGACAGAAAACGACACTCGACTGGCCGAAGCGCAGCAGCAAACATTTACCAATTGGGGTAGGTATCCCCAGAGATGCATAACTGGTAGTGTCACTGCCATCTAAGCGGTTGAATACAATACTTATCACTTATTACACTGCTTGCTCTACGCCCCACAATTTATTTTCATTTTTAACATTTACTGTGCGTACTGAATTACCTACCTAATAAAATGATGTTATTAGGGATACCCTAGCTGTCTATACAGAGCATTAGATAATTAGTATCGTTTTTATGACATTCAGATTACCTGCACAATGCTGCGAGGTTGTCATGTCATTATTGGTGTACGCGATTTTCTATTAAATAAACAATTATAAACTCTGACTAGTATGATTAAGTTATTTTTAGCTAGTTAACAAAAATTGAATTAATAATGCACATAACTCTGAATAATAATAATAATATTCTGTAAAGGTGGATCTAATGATAAAAAGTATAATATTCTGTTGTAGATAAACGAAAAATCATGTCTTGCCGTGGACAGCGTAAATCCAGAGAACTAACAGTGGAGACATATGGTCGTGTTGACGGCACATCTCCCATTGAACCATTAATTGAAGAAAACTCAAAAAAATTAGAATTTCTTAAAAAGCCAAGTGTCAAAGTATTAAATTCTAAAGGATCAAAGAAAAGAAATAAAAATAAACGAATTCATAGTGAAAATATATCGAATGCTGCAGAACAGATCAATTTCATTTCAGGAAATCCATTTGTTGAAGTTACCAAAGGTGTCCTGCATGTTTATAAAGAAAAGTAAGAATTGACAAATTAAGTAATTACAATTAACTCTTGATTATTTGAAATCGGCAATTTAAAGTTATTGCTCATTCCCTTAAAAATCTTATAGTAATTGGAATAAAAACAATAAATTTAAGTAAACTTGTAATTTGTAGTACAATTTTTGGGAAAAATAGATGTCAACAAAACATTTTGAAATTCAACGCTTGTTAATTCAGTGTATTCACCAAAATATAATAAAAAAAATTTGAATACTTAACCGCATTCACCAGTGGCTTGTACAAAAGTGCACATGCCCACGTGAAATACCTAAAAAAAAAATAAAAATAAAACTGATTAATTTTTATAATAAATTAAAGTTGGTTATTCATTAATAATTAATATACACAAACTCTGTAACATAAAAATTGTTTATTAAAAAGAGAAAGTTTTAGTAGCGTTTCGTGTTAAAAAGTAACTATTAAATAATTCACAGAGCACATATTAGTTGTGCTCCAGACAGCTATTCAATTAATAGCTATATGTAACAATAAGTCGACTAGTATAACACGGTCTCTTTGAGAAAATTGAAAGTCTGTCTGGGACCTATTTTTATCATGATATGCTGTTATATCTGTTGTTGAAAACTATTATGTACCTATGAATTGGCCATCTATCTTTGTCTGCTTCCTCTATGCTCTCTCATGTGTAGACTACCATCAATAATATAATATAACAATTTAACAATATAATTAATTAATAAGAGATAATTTTGGCTTGAAAAAATTAGATGTAGATAAATGCATTACTTTGGGTATTTACCTATAACAAAATTAGTTTTTTTACCAGCTTACATTGGCATTTTATAAAATAATAAGTACAATTTTTTAATAAGTACTATTTCATGTGAATCTCTCAAGCTACCACTACCAGTTTTGTAAATAATACTGTAGTTTTATACATGGGGCTTATTGTTCTGTTGTACAGCAAATTAACGCCAGTTGACAATGCAAGTAATCGTAGTCAAATGATTTGTATTTTGTCTGTTCCTTCAAACATGAATTGCCACGACTTACTTACTTTCATAGCTGCTTGCCAAGAGAACATTCATCATATACGAATAATTCGGGATGCTGCATCTCTTAATCAATACATGACCCTTATTTCATTCAGAAGCCAAGTAAATCTAACATATTATCCAGTTATAAATGATAATTTAAATCATGTTATTCTAATACCATAGGAAGCGACAATGGATTTCTTTCATTCGTTCAATGGTATGCCTTTCAATTCATTGGAACCAGATTGCTGTTGCAATTTGGTTTTTGTATCCAAAGTAGAAGTGATAAAAGAAGATGCACCGGGATCTAGTGCTCCTCCATCTCAACATACTGAACTTCCTGTGTGTGCTGTTTGTTTAGAGCGGATGGATGAATCAGTAGATGGTATTTTAACTATACTCTGTAACCATTCATTTCATGGAAATTGTTTGACAAAATGGGGTGATACCAGGTAACAAATTTCCATTCAAATTGTTTTGAATTTTAAAGTGAAAATCAATTGTATTTTCTCATTCCAGTTGTCCAGTATGTAGATACGTTCAAACACCTGAAACAATTCCAGATAACCATTGTCAAGAATGTCATTCTTCTGAGTCATTGTGGATATGTTTGATTTGTGGTTATGTCGGATGTGGTCGTTATGTTCAAGGCCACGCTTATAAGTAATTATTAGCCATCTCTAAGTTACTGTTAACTGATGTATTAATAAAAAATATTTAGTCATTATTTAGAAACATCGCACTGTTATTCTATGAACTTGGGAAATAATCGTGTATGGGATTATGTTGGTGATAATTTTGTTCATCGTTTGGTCCAAAACAAAGGAGATGGGAAATTAGTAGAAGGAAGATCTCCAGGAAAACTCGATGTACATTATATATTTAATAATAATTAATCAAGACAATATAATTATAAAAATATATTTAATTAATGTTGTAGGATACAGATCAAAAAATTGAATCCGTACAACTTGAATTCACATATCTTTTAACCACTCAATTAGAATCGCAAAGAAAATATTTTGAAAGCCAAATGAAACTATTTGAAGAAAATACACTTATTGAAGTAAATATCTATGCATGATTTTTATTTAAATTTGAAATCCATTGAGCTCTAGAATAGCTTTCCTAATATTACTTATGAGTTATCACGACTACTGCACGTTGTGTCCCACTCTAATCTTGTAAACACATCACATTATTGTATATTATATATTTCGGTACATTGGCAGGGTAACTTTAAGATAGTTCTGCTATAATGTCATAATAATTAGTCACGACCACGTAGCCACACTGTAAGTAATGGTTTGTTCTACAGTTCTTTTTACACTTACRATTATTTGTTTGTATATACCTTACCTAACCTAACCAACTACGGAAAATGATGCGGTAGTTTTTTCAAGAAAAAGGCATTTTACCACAAGACAGCAACAGTAGAGTAAGATACCATTTGAAATTCTACTTAGTGGAATTTATGTGGAAGAATACTCTAATGAAGACTTCATTGTATTGTAAAAAATTGACTACCATAAATTGTTTTTTAACTTGCAAGATAAGAGTATGACACAGCGTACGATAGTTGCAATAATCTGTATGTGGCATGGTGGTGATAACCCATAAGTACCAAACTAATTAGTTTTTACAAATATCGATTAAAATAAAATAACATTTCAATGCTGAAATAATATCACACTACTCTGTGGCCAATTGAACAGCTACCTTTTACTACTCAGCTGTTCAGTTCTAATTTGTGTGTCTTATTCAAAAATTGTCAGTATTCTAATGTTACAGTATACCGTATACCTTTCTATACTGATACCCAATTATGATATCACAATAACTGAATTTGATTACAATATCTAAAGCGAGTCTCTGTATAAAAAATAATATTTTTTTTATGAGCACCTAAAGACCAGAAGTGTTTTTTTTATTTGCTTGGAAATCTAAAATATTCCTTGTTATACTTTGCCTTCAATTGGTTATGGGTAATTGAAATAATTCAAAATTTATAGTTCATAAGAAAGTTTGAAATAACCTATAAGTACCAAAAACTGAAAAATTACTCTTACTTGTAAAAGAATAACCTTTGTTTGTAGGCCTTAATCATTCTCGATTGCATGATTTTTTTGTTCTAACAATTGTCTAGCTTGCATTTTAAATATTAGTAAAGCAAATTATTTATCACAGCTGATTGTCAGAAGTGGAAGCTGACAAAAAAATTCAATATAAGATCAGATCTAATTGAGTTGTCTGAGCTAGACAAAAATCAATTGCTGTTTGAAGTTAATCTTAAATGAGTATAGAATAAAAAATTAAAGCCATTTGTAATGTATTGTGATATAAATATTTAATACTTAATTGATAAATATCATATTTTAATTTAATTTGTTATTTTATAATTTGTTTAGATAAATAATGTGAAAGCTGAGGCTAAAGCTGCTCTTGAAGACAATGAAAAATTACAGAAAGTGGTCAGCAGTTCTTCTAAGGACAGTAGCATACTAGAACAGAAAATTGAAGAAAACAAAAAGCTATTAGAACGTGTTAACATAATCACAAAAGAAAAAAATGTTTTGGAAAAAAAGGTATTTTGATATTTTAATTTAATGGTAAAAAATAATGTAAAAATGTATTCCTTAAATTTATCTATTAAAGTATTAACATTATATTATTAGACATAAATAAAAAAGTTAGGAAAGTTGGGTTCACTCTGCTGTACATTAGATGTTGTGTGGATTTCCGTAATGAATGTGTTAAATTTTAATTTAATGATATAAAATTTTAAAATATTAAAATCATTGTATATAAAATAAAAAAGATTCTAAGGGAAGACAGTTTGTCAGTCTTTACTACTAAGTATGTATTTAATGATATTAATTACAAGTAATGAAGTAGGTCAATGTTAAAAATGTTGTTTAGTGTATAAAATTAACAATAAACTTTAAAAGTTTTAACTGTTTTAAGTACCCACAAATAATAACAAAATAGCTAAAATAATCATTTTTTGTTTAAATATAGAATTTCATCCAAATATTAACTTAAAATATAAYTGTTTGCATATTTTTTAGATTTTTTTGACTACAGTATTAAATTACTATAAGAAACCTTGTTTTAAATTTTTAATTCTTAGATATAAAAATCTAATGTACTGTAAACTATTTTTTTCGCACAAGTATTACAAAAGTTATTTCAATGCAAAAAAAAAGTAGGTCAGCATTTCGGTGGTGGATGTTTGTCCATCGTCCCTTTGGTCCTCTGACAGGATAGTGTAATTTTACTGTATTTGATTTGAATGCAATGGTTGCATTTAATAAAAAACGATTCTGAGCGGACGAGGGAATCTTTTTTTAATTTATTTTATTCGTTTCTATAGTGGTAAACAAAGCGTTATAAGAACAGCTTAAGAACGATTTATATAAATAGGTAATTTATRTAATTATAATTAGGAAATATCATAAAAATGAAAAGAAAAAGAAAAAGCTCAAAAGTCGCTCAAATGTTTTGAAATTTTTACCATGTCTAGGTAAGGCTAATATAAGTAAACAACCCATATTTAAAGTTTTTAACCAAATTACAACAAAGAAACTCCAAAAATTAAAATGTCTATAAAAAGCTCAATAATGGTTAACATTTTCCGAACTTTAAACTGTAAGGTACAAAATCCAAAATACAACAAGAAAGATCTCTTGTCATTTTTCATTTGAAGCAATATTTCTGGTAGAAAACGTCATCCGTAATTATTTAATATTATAAAATTGTGTAATCATACGTTTTTCTCCTTTAACCGCTTTTATTTTAAGTACTGTAAAAATGACCTTTCTAAAGTACCAGCTCAAGAACATTACTTTTTAGAAGAGATGCTACACTTGATACTTTTGAGCAAGTTYAGAGGGAGAAAAAGTGTTTATAGAATAAAATAGAAAAGGAAATAAACATCATTGTAAAACCAATACATTCTTCGCTCCGCTCAGAATCTAAAATGAACATTTTATTAATTTATAACTAATTATTTACAAATTTTCATGATTTTGTCAAAATTTTAACTTTAAATGCTTATAAATTTGTGTTTATAAATCTATAATATTTTAGATTCTGAGCGGAACAAGGAATGTATTGGTTTTATAATGATGTTTATTTTTTTTTCTAATTTAAATTTAATAAAATATAAAATAATTTAATAATTTTTTATATTAATACGGATGCCTTTTTTTTTTTGAAATTATAACAATATAATTAATATAGTATAACATACCCTAGACTGATAAACAGTCTCCACTCTGAATCGTTTTTCATGTACAATAATATTACATCATTGAATTCAAATTTAATACCATCCATTACAGTAACCYACTTGTAACCTACTGTACTGCAGAGCGACATCCACTTACCCGCTTTTTAATTGTTAAATTTATTAAATTTTCAAACATTTGACCCAGAGAATATTATTATTTTTTATCTATGTTCATAGATAAACTACTAGAAAAATTAAAATTTGAAAATATTTATAAATGGCTCAAAAAGTCGATTAATTAAAAAAATTTGTTCATGTATAGAGAATGGTTATGTAAATATTTGGTGAAAACTGAAAATTTTAAGTATTTACGGTTATTATTAGTTCCGCTTAGAATTTCAAACCATAAATATTATTTAATCATGACTAGTGACTACTATTCTTATGTTTATTTAGGTTCATAATTTATCAATCAAACTAGACCAAACTAAAACCAAGTTAGACGAAGAATGTCAAATTAACTCAGCATTACAGACAAATCAAAATGAATGGCATATTAAATTTTCAAACTTGGAAAAAGATTTTAGCAGTTACAAGGCTACTAAAGATCAAGTAAATATTCTAATATAAAATTAAAATTATTTTTTATGTTTAAAAATGAAGACATTTGTAATTTTAAAGCTAGTATTGAGCTTAAAGTGTTTAGAAGTAATAATAAAACATATCTTTTTAATTGTTTATTTTTATTTTAGGAAATTAGTGAATTGAAAGAGCAAGTTCGTGATCTCATGTTTTTCTTAGAAGCTCAGAATACAATTGACAAAAGTGTAGACCGGGAAGACATTGTAAACGGTTCTGTGATAGTGGAGCAGGAAAGTTCATCGGGTCAAAACAAGACTCCAAAAAACAAAAAAAAATAGATAAAAAAAAAAATAATTAAGATTTTTATATTTATTCATATTATTCAAAATTATGTCTGTATAATATTTTTTGTTCACTGTTTGGAGGAATTATAAAATTTTGTTAATCAAATAGGCAACATAGTATGGCAATTCTTATTTCCAATATGTGGTTTTGGCATTATTTATTTTTTATTTTTTTTTAACGTTTATTTAAATATACACAATCTGTAAATGTTGTTTTACAATAAGTGCATGTGATGGAGGTGATATGGCTTTTGAGAGGCTGGAAATAAGAAACCGCCCATTGGAGGCACTTAAGGTTAGGATTTTAGGCTAGGATTTTAGTTTGCTAGTAGGAATTGGCATTATTTAATATGTAATTTGTGGAGATAACATATTATCATGCACTATTTTTATTTTTTAATACAGCAGCTAAAATTTCAAGCATAATAACAGCATGTGCAATGTGCATGTTGTTTGCCGCAAATAGAACTTAAGCGATAAGTCCTATAAAAATATAAAATGTATATAATACATTATAATTAAGTAAGATTATTCAAGTGCTAATATAATATGTATTATAATTTGTTATATAATTTTCTATTGCACTTCATTATAGTCTGTGAGTGCCACTTTACATGCATATATCTTTCAGATTACCTATGAGTTATGACTATTAAAACAATTTTCTTGTAATTTGAACTTTAATAACATAATACATTATTACTATACAAAGCATAATAATAAAATTATTATTATTATTATTATATTAAAACATTATTGAGTCATTGGTCATTTAAAATATTCATATTCCCCTAATCCATCTATTTAATTACTTCTAATTTATCCTGTAATCCTAATGCAATGCCATGTACTGACATTCCGCTAGATAACAAACGGTCGTTTATAAGGTTTGGGTACAACTATCGCCTAGAGAAATCTACCATACCAAGGGGGTGGACAATGGACATAGATCTAAGAACTTGAACAAACTTTGACAATGTGAGACACTGACTGAAATGAGGGATCGGGAAAAAATGGTTCTTGGAAATAGGTTGAAACCAGTGTTGGTTCTATGGTTTTCAGGGTCTGGTGCAGAATTTTGTGGGATCCCATGGATCATATTATCATATATATATATATTAATTTGTTAATTAATTATACAAAATATATAGTTTGTAGCCTGTGCCCCCCCCCAAAAAAAAAAAATGTTCCACACAAGTACTTAATTCTGCAGAAAAAAAATAAAAGTTCAGAAAAATTCTGAGTGGAGACRGTTTGTCAGTCTGGGATATGTTATACTATATTAATTATATTGTTATTATTTAAAAAAAAAAAATGTAGGTATCTATAAGGCTATGAAATAAATTCCAAATTAAGCAAATCAGATTCATTTTGTACTCGACTCATTCAGTCATTCATAGAAGGTATATACAATTTATAATAAAGTATTAATATAAGTCATAACTGATAAAAAATATTGACTATTAATATTAGAATATAAAGTATACTCTAGAAATAGACTCTAATATAATGTACCCATGAATAATATTTTTAAATTACAACAATATAACTAAAATTGTTAAACTTGATAATTTAATGTAGGTAATTTCATCCAAATTTTAACTTAAATGTTAAAATAACTATAAAAAAACTTTGTGTGTATATAGCTTTTAGATTTTTTTGTTACAGAATTAATTACTTTCTTGGAATTAAATTTTCAATCCTTGACAAACTATGAAATTTAAGTGTCTTATAAATTTTTGACAATTAAAGAATTTGTAAATTTTCAATTGAATGAATTTTGTCAAAATTCAAATTTTAAATGCTTATAAAAAAAAACGAGCATAATATTATATATTTTTATATTTTCCAACTGCTATTATATAGAACCTTGTATCAAATTTTCAAGTTTTTGACCCAACGAATAAAATGTATTGACATTTATTTTATAGAATGACACACTAAAAATACGGAAAATTTCAAATGTCTATAAATAACTTAAAAATTGTTGAAAATTTTATCAAGTATAAGAATTGATAAAATAAACATATCGCGTAAATTTCAAGTGTCTACAGTTACCTATTCGTTTTTGAATAACGACAAAATAAGAATATCGGTACAAGAGAAATTGAGTAAATATCCAATGTTATTGTAATTCAAATGTTTATAAAAATTTAATTTTACTTCCAAGTAGAAATTTTATATTTGATAAAATTATTAGACAAACTCATGAAGAATCTTATATAGAATTTTCAAATCTTATCTCATCAAATTAAATTTTAAGTGTTTAGTTTGAGTTAAATAGTCAAATCTAGTTAAAAAAAAAAAGCGGGTAAGTCGTGGATTTCGCTCTGCTGTACAGTAGGTTACTGTGATGGATAGAATTAAATTTGAATGCAATGTAGGTATCATTGTATACGAAAAACGATTCTGAACGGAGATGATTTGTCAGTCTATGATATATTATATTTAAATATTGTCATATATACTAATCTATTTTGAAA